ATTTATTGTTGGCCAATCCCACCAATTTTTTTCCTATTTTCCCTCTCATATATATGGTTTTTTTTTTTTGAAAAATAAAATGATTTCCTTCCTCCACCTTTTAGTTATTTTGAGGTCCATTATTATTGTCTTTTCCGTTTTTCCTCCCTAAAAAGGGGAAATTATCTTCCTCAAGTTTGATGTTCCATGTGAGTTTTGCATCTATTTCTATTGTGCACATTTTGGGCATTTCCGTTCTCTCAAAACAACTTTTGTTTATTTGTGGGACGGTGCAACTCAGTACATGTGTATCTTTCTTATTTGCACATGTATTCAAAAGGGTAATTGGATATGTATCACCATCATGCAGAGTCAACATACACATCTTTTTTCCCAATTTAATTTTTTTTTCTTAACACATTTATTTAGTGAGACCCAGACATCAATTTTTAAAATAGGATAATTTTAAGATCAGTACGGCACTAAAAATGATTTTTTTTATAAATTTTTTTTTATTATCTTAGAAAATCAATTTTTTTCATATACATAATCAGAAATAAAAATTTAATACTACTACACATATCAATGTAACATACCATGCTATTAAAAAAAAAAAATCTTTCTAATTGAATTTAGTTGTCTTTTTTTAACTTTTTTTAAAATAAATATTAAATATTAATATTTTAATTTTACTTTTATTTCTAATAAATAAAAATATATTAAGATTTTTTTATTTAATTATAAATAAAGATAAATCTTAATTATTACTTTAATAAATGCATTTTTTTGGTTGTCATGAATAGATAAAATTATATTACTAAGGGTTGTTTGGTTTAATTATTTTGATACAATTAATAATTGATAATTAATGTTCAATAACTGATAATTATTACATTTATAATTTAGAGCCATTGAATTATTTTATTAAAATTAATAGTTGATAGTTGCTATTCAACCTCGTATAGGTTTTTTTTTTTTTTTTGGTACAAAGGGAATTAGGGGTTAGGGGGAGGGGAAATGAAGACAAAGGGGTTTGAACTTTGATGATATGGGTGCAATACCTATACAATAATCATATGTATTACATATTGAGATTCTATAATAAAAAGTTTTTATTTATAAGTTTTTTTTTAATTTATACATTAAATACATAAATTAAAAATATTTTTTTTATAAATATATAAAAAATATATAAAAATATTAATTTTCATATCATTACTATGTTAATAAATTTAATTAAATAATTAATAAATTAAAAATTAACTTTTATTTTTTTTAACATAAATTTATCTAACATAAATTTATGACAAAAATTATATTTAGTATACCCTAAATGCAAAAATTAAAAAAATCCTTAGATTAAACACAATAAGATTAAAACGTGGTTACTAATTTCTTGTAAAAAAATTACTTAAACGAAAAAAATAGCATGAAAACATAATTTCCAAATCCCCTAAAATCATAGAACAATCTATTTTAACCAAAATAATAATAATAATTTAAAATTTATAGGCTATATAAGATACAAAACTATCATATTTAGACTGGAGAGTCAGTGGTATTGGTGGGACTCCCCATCCTAAGCCTAGGCATGAATTTATAATTCCAACTGTATTAAAAAAAAAAAAAAAAAACCTAATTTAATATAAAACCCTAAAGAAACTAGTCCTTGTAAGAAAGAAAAAGGGAGTGTGTTGAGAATCAATCGCTTCCGTCATTCTCTTTGATCCAACGGCTTAGATCACTCCAGAACCCGTTCTTGGTCTCACCCTGCACTCGTCTTCACTTCCATCTATCACTCAACTTACTCTGAAAATGGCAAAAGCCTCCAGCATCTGTAACCCATTGCCTTCTCTCCGTCGCCGATTTTCGTAAATACTAATGTATATTTACAGAAACCAACGCCTTCGAAACATAACCCAAAATCATTTCTTTTAGTTTCTTCTGACATTTTCATCCGATTTCGGTTAATGGGTTCTTTGGTTTTTGATCAAAAGAAAATATTTTTGAGCATTTTAGGCGAAATCCATTTTGATTTCCAATCAGCTTTGAGCTGATTCCGACTTGAATCTTCGAGTGCCTTTTTGACACGCGTAATGATCATAGACAGATACCCTCCTGCAAAGATGATGTCGATGCTTAACAACCCCGATTTTGCTGAGGACTTGGGGAGGCTTGTTCGAGATCAAAAGCGACAAGAAACACCGACTGATGTTATATCTACTGATCTAGAGAAGGAGCTCAACATTTTCCGAAGTGGGTCTGCACCACCTACTGTGGAAGGCTCGCTGAGCTCCATTGGTGGGTTGTTTAATAGCTCAGGGATGTCAAACATCGTTGAGGGTGGCGCAAAAGATGGGTTCTTGAGCGAGGAAGAGCTCAGGGTTGATCCTTCATATGTCAATTACTACTATTCCAAACTTGCCAGTGGAAATCTGAACCCGAGGTTGCCTCCTCCGTTGGTGTCCAGGGAAGATTGGAGGTTTGCGCAGAAGTTGCAGGGTGGTAATGGGAATAGGTCGCTTTTTGCAGTGCAGCCAGGGTTTGGAGGAGATGAGCAAGATAATGCCGGTGGTGGTGGTGATGGTAGCGGAGCGGATTGGGAAGGAGATGGGCTGATAGGGTTGTCTGGGTTGGGGGAGTTAGGGAGTAGCCAGAAGAGCCTTGTAGAGATAATTCAGGTGAAGACTTGATCAATATTAAGCTGTTTTTAGTTCTGACTTAATGTGGCCTAGGGTTGCTTCCTTTTGATTTTGGGTTGATTTTTGGTTCTTGTTGAATTGTTTATGTTGTTTTTATTTGGTTTTCTTGGAAGTACTGGTGTGTCTAAGTGGTGGTAGTATGCTGTTTTCTGATTGAAAATTAGGATGTTGAAGATAAAGTTTGTGTTCAGGTGAATTAGATCCCACAAATAAACAGTTTTTATGCTTATTATGTAATGTTCATGGTTTGTTGGGAGTCTTTAAGCAGGCCATGTTGTTAGGTTCAAAATCACCATTAATGCTTTTGGTTATTGGCTGATATAAAATTGTGTGGATGCAGAGAAGCAAACATAATTTTATATGATCTTATGTTAGTATTTGCAATATATATGTGTATATATATATATATTTGGGTTGGCTACCCAATCATAGAGGATGGATGTTAGTATTTGCATGTTATATCAAGATTTAACTCCTTTGGGTATGATCTGAATATTGATTAGTTTTATCACTGAACCTTGTAAATGTCCAAGTAGCTGCAATGAATCCCTAGTATTGGATCCTGCTGCTAGAAATTAAATCAACTACCTTTCTTTTTTTGAAAATTTTGTAAGTTATCAAGTGCTCCAGATTTGGGTGGGTTGTCTCTTTTGTGGTTGGGTCCTTGCAGGCTGTTCACCAATTAGGTTTTGTTTTTGTGACGTGGGTGAAAGTTTGCTCCTGTTGTTATCCTACAAAATAAAGGGGTTGTACTAAGAATATAAGGCTTATTGCTTTTATTGTGGTATAACGGGCAGGGTATCTGAGCAGTAACGTGGCCACGAGTAGTTGGTGGCTATATAATGGAGATGCATTGGCTGCTACTGAAGCTTATGTCTGATCTGTTGACTTTTTTAGAATTATTACTTTAATTGGACCAACAATAGTGTCATGTTTACTTTGTTTTGGACTTTTCACTATCTGTTTTGGCCTTTTTGACATCTTATAGATGTAATTATGACCTTTTAATTCCCTCATATGTATATAGTTGTGCAATGTTCATGTACTTGAAGCGCACTACTTTGCATACAAGTAAACAAAATCATGACACAATCATACAATTCAAACCTTTTCTGTTTGCAGGTGAATTTGATTCTAACATAATAAACCTTTCCTCATAGATGTCTTTTCCTTTTTGGTTCAAATCCCTGTTTCTGACCGTCTTTTCTTTTTTGGTTCACATTACTGTTTCCATTTATGTAGTCACTGCCATTAGCCTGGGTTGATGGTTTTCTTAAGATTTAGATTTACAAGTAAACTAAATCGTGGCATAATCATACACTTCAAACCTCTTTTGTTTGCAGGTGAATATGATTCTAACTCAATAAACCTTTTTCTCCTAGATTTTAAATACTGACTTTTCCTTTTTGGTTCAAATTCCCGTTTCTGTTTATCACTGGCTTTACTTTTTTGTTTCTTTTCACTGTTTTCATTTATGTATTCACTGCCATTAGCCTGGGTTGATGGTTTTTCTAAGATATACACTTATATCTCCCTCAGTGTGACTCACTAACTTTTTGGCTTTACTTTCAACAATGCAGGATAATATGAATCAAGCAACCACAGCTCCAAGGCATCCTTCTCGTCCAGCTAGTCGCAATTTATTTGATGAAGGCATTGAAACTTCTGAAGCACAATATGCTAATCTGCTTTGTGATTTAACACCAGCAGATGGTTTAGTCTCTGGTGCAAATAAACATGGAATTTCTTCAAACCAAAACTTTGGCTCCTTATCAACTCAAACTTATGCTTCTGCTTTGGGTGCCTCCTTGTCAAGAAGCACCACACCCGAACCTCAGCTCACAGCTAGAAATACTACTCCTCGCATTCCAACTGTTGGAAATGGGCGGTCTAGTTCCATGGACATAAGAAGTGTTGATACTCCTGGCACATTCAATGACATTGGCTCCAACACTTTCAATGGTGTCTCAGCAAACTTGAGTGAGTCTGAAGAGCTTGTAGCTGCTTTGTCTGGCATGAATCTGTCAACTGATGGTTCAATGGATGGAGAAAACTATTTACGCTCACAGACTAAACATGTTGATATTCGCAAATCTGCCAACTCGTATGTAACAGGACCTTCTATGCCCACCCTTAATGGTGCTGGAAGCCCACATCTTCAGACTGCCAATAAGAGGAATCACCCATTTCCAAACTATGGCTGTTCTGGGTTTGCTACAAATCCCTCATCAGCACCTGTGATGGATGGTCATCTTGGGAGCAGTAACTTGCCACCTCTGTTTGAAAATGCTGTTGCAGCATCTGCAATGGGAGGAGCCATGGCTGGAGGTTTGACTTTGGGCCCAAATTTGATGGCAGCAGGACCGCAAAATTTTGTTAGATTAGGTAATCAAAATGCAGGGAATTCTCTTCAGGCACCTCTCCTGGATCCATTGTCTCTTCAGTACGTGAGGGCAAATGAAATTGTGGCTGCACAGGTTGCAGCTCTCAATAATGACGTTACAGTTGATAGAGATTACATCAGTAATTCGTATGTCGATTTATGGGGACTCCAAAAAGCTTATTTGGAAGCATTGCTTTCATCTCAAAAATCACAGTTTGCTGTTCCCTACCTCAGTAAATCTGGTAGCTTGAATCATAATTACTATGGAAGTCCTGCATATGGTCTTGGCATGGCATATCCTGGAGGTCCAATGGTAGGTTCCCTTTTTCCAAACTCACTTGTTGGATCTGGGAGTCCTGTCCTGCATGGTGAGCGGAATATGCTTTTTTCTTCTGGGCTGAGGAATCTGTCTGGTGGAGCCATGGGCGCTTGGCACTCAGAAACTGGTAGTAACTTGGATGGAAGTTTTGCATCCTCTTTGCTAGATGAGTTTAAAAGCAACAAAACTAAATGCTTTGAACTTTCAGAAATTGTGGGACATGTTGTTGAGTTCAGGTAAGTTGCTGGTTAATCTCCTTCCCCTGTTCCTCACTTCTTAAGGCTAATAGAAATTTAATATTTACTGTTTAATAATTGTATGAACAGTTCTGATCAATATGGAAGCCGGTTTATTCAGCAGAAACTTGAGACGGCCACAATGGAAGAGAAAGATATAGTCTTCCATGAAGTCCTGCCCCAAGCGCTTTCGTTAATGACTGATGTCTTTGGTAATTATGTGATTCAAAAGGTAATTTGATTTAGAAAATCAATTGGAGTACCATTTCCATTTGAAGTCATAGTTTGTTCCAGTAAATTCAGTACCTAAAGCATTATCAACTGATTTCTGTATTTTGCCTATGTTTTATGGGGCTCTCCAGTTTTTTGAACATGGATCTTCATCCCAAATAAGAGAACTGGCTGATCAATTGATTGGGCATGTGCTAGCGCTAAGCCTTCAAATGTATGGCTGTCGAGTGATACAGAAGGTCTGGTTTTTTGCTTGAATAACTGTGCTGAACTCTGTGCTCAATGAAAGTTTCTTCTGTATATGTTATTGTGTTAAGTCCTTTATAAATCCACTCTCTGTATTGGCTTGTGTTTGCACTAATATAAAGACCTAGTCCACCTGATTGATCTTACAGTCAGCATTGGTTTGATTGTGGGGCCCTGGCTCTCTCTGCCTACAACTTTCCTAGGCCGGTAGCCTAGTTGGAGCATGATTTTCCATGCTTCCCTGCTGGGTTGATACCCATCTATCCATGGTTTAGATCTTTTCCTCCTAAGCTTAAGACACAAGGCAACTTAACTGCTTGCCTGGCGGTGGGAACATTTCAAGATCAATCTTCAGCACTTTTTTCTTGTAAATTTCATGTTGCTATGTTCATCCTGATACAGATTAAATTTATGCTCTATGTGACTGGATTGCATCTATTGACCTTCACTTTCTTGTTTAGGCTATTGAAGTTGTCAAGCTGGACCAACAGATTTTGATGGTCAAGGAACTTGATGGTCATGTTATGCGCTGTGTGCATGATCAGAATGGGAATCATGTTATCCAGAAGTGTATAGAATGTGTACCCGAAGAGGCTATTCAGTTAATTGTTTCAACATTTTATGACCAAGTTGTGACACTAGCCACTCATCCATACGGTTGTCGAGTCATACAGGTTAAAAACTCTTATTACATTTTCTATCCCAAAAAAAAAAAGAAAAAAAAAAAACTCTGTTATATTTAGCACATGTTTTATCTGGATAATATAGCCAGATATAAATGAAATTTATTGATTGCAATTTTGCAATGGTGTAATGCATGCAACAGAGAGTTCTGGAGCATTGTCATGATGCAAAAACCCAGCAGATAATGATGGATGAGATTATGCAGTCTGTTTGTATGTTGGCACAGGATCAATATGGGAATTATGTTGTACAGGTTGGTATAATTTTGGAACCTTCTCATCCATCTTGCTAGTTTGAAGCATGTCACTAAAGAGCTGGGCAGACACATTTATTAATGGGCAATCTGATATCCATAGTTGATTTGATTTCTGATAATTGAGATATGTGTTTCTGGTCCTGCCCTCTGAACTAAAATTTCAATGGATGAGAATTCATAATTTCTACTTTCCTAAATATTCAGAGCTCATCCTTGCAACTATTTTCAAAATGCTGATGGATTAATAGTTAAATCATTTGAAGTGCTAAGCAAAAAGTGGCCATGCGAAAGCAATGCACTGGAATGAAATGATGTCTCTGCCTTGAACTTTTTGCCCTGTGTTTTCTCCTGGATGGCAGTACAGCTCAGAAGTTCCCTTCTTTATCCCTTTACATTTCTCAGCACTTGGTTGTTGTGAGTACTCTTCTTATTGCATCCTTACGATGACATTACAGCATGTTCTGGAGCATGGGGAACCACATGAACGCTCGGCTATAATCACAATGTTGACTGGGCAGATAGTTCAAATGAGTCAACAGAAGTTTGCTTCTAATGTTATAGAGAAGTGCTTAACTTTTGGGACTCCTGCAGAGCGCCAAATGCTGGTCAATGAGATGCTTGGTTCAACTGATGAAAATGACCCTCTTCAGGTTTGTTATTTATCTACACTCTTCCTATTGCTGAATGAGTTTGAAAAGCAATTTTAGTATTGCAGACAAATCCTCCATTGCATTTGGCATCATTTGTGTTTTCATTGTTCTGTTCACTCTTCACTGTCATTGCTTAATGGTCCCTATTTTATATATTGGATCCTTAAGCATGATATTGTGCTTGTGAATTTGACAACCACAACTTGTTTGTTGGTTTACATATTCTATCTATGTGATCTGACCTTTTACTTACTTTGCACTTGGTAGCATTGCTGGAAAACATTGTGAACTTTGTGAAATGATGTTTTTGTTTTACTTAGGAGTTGGGGTACTTAGCATCGCAGGGGTTTGAACCTCTGATCTTGACCCCAAATCAAGGCTTTTTAAGTTTGTGGATGCTAACTTGATTAAGCTCTTATTGGTTTTGTTTTTTTATCTCTGTCATCATCGTTGTAACAGCTTCATGGTTGTCTAAAATTTTCTTTTCTTTTATTTACTTGTTTCTCGGTCACAGGTGATGATGAAAGATCAGTTTGCAAACTACGTCGTACAGAAACTGCTGGAAACCTGTGATGACCAGCAACTTGAACTAATCCTCAACCGTATAAAGGTTCATTTGAATGCTCTAAAGAAGTATACTTATGGGAAGCATATAGTTGCACGTGTAGAGAAACTTGTAGCTGCTGGAGGTAATCCCACTCTTACGCTTGTTTTCCAATGTTATGGTCTTTGCAAATATTTAGTGAGCAAAACTGCCATCTTAAATGGCTGAAATTTGATTTCCAAGTCATTCATTATCAAAGCAGTTTGGAAAAATGACATCCTGATAAGGGGGTTCCATGTGTTTTCCCTTTTTGCAGAAAGGAGGATCAGCATTCTAACTCCGCACCCAGCACAGATGGCATAAGAAAGGAAGTTGTACGGCAAACCGAGGATGGTATGAGTTGCCTCCCTCTTTCTCCTTTACTCTAGGTCTAGTAACAGCACTACTATTTATTTTGATAGATGGGAGCTGCTTGAAAATAAAAACCTGTTATCTATATAGACTGTACTTAAAGCTGTACATTGTTAGTTTGAGGATATACACCTAGAAACAATCAGGCTTAGCTGAGGCGCAGAACGGCGAACATGCTGATGCCCTTGCAGAGGGTACAGAGTGGCTGTACAAGTTTTAAAGTTGTAACAAGCTCGGTAGTTAATCTGTGTTCGTGACTGTAAAAATTTTATCCGAAGTTGAGAGCCTTTGTTGTTTAGGAGAGTCTGGAATTTTCCTCCTGGATGAAACTTGCTCCTTTTTCTTAATTTACTGGACTTCTCGCTCATCCTTGTTGAGTCCATAGAGATTCCATGAAGCATGATTTTCTGGCTTGTTTAGATCTCTCGCTGCTTCCTAATTTCTGTGCAGTTCCCTATCATAAAATGGGAAAAAGGATATGTACGGTATTATAGGTAATTTTTTTATATTATTTTTTGATATAATTTTTACATGTTATTAAATGAGTTAATACATTAAATATTACAAGATTCATATGAATAAAAAAAATTAATTATGTAAATGACACATCAAATTATATAAAAAATTAAAATAAAAAATTATTTCAGAATCATTTCCGGAAACGGTATTAGCTTCAAAGCAAAATTATCCTAAATGCGCGTATGACTGGAATGAGGGAAGTTTTATTCTTCTCATTTATTTTTTTAAAACTAAATATATGAAATTACCATGTAGTGGTAGTTTATATATAATATTAATTAAAATTAATATTAAAAATAAGAAATGTTAAATAAAACTGATTAGAAATAATAAATTTAAATTTTTAAAAAGGTTTTTTTTTTTATAATACTAACCCTTGTATTTGATATTAACATTGTGATTTCATAAATGAAAATTTTTTTTTTAGTATTTGTTTCTTTATTTATAAATTTTAAATAAAAAAATTTACTTAAAAAAAATTTAAACTACTTCCATTCGAACCGTCATTAATAAATTTTTAAATAAAATAGTATTGTATTGAAATGATCTGTATAAAGTAGTTCCAAACGAAACCTAAATTTCGGAAGCGAAAGAGCGGAGTGGTGGACGTTAGTCCCAGTAACGAGAACGCGCCGGTTCTCTACAGAAGAAATCCGGCCACCGGGCCGGCGGTCCAGATGGCGCCTTTTGAAGTTTGAACGGATTTAGTTTTCCGGGAAGGCAAGCAGAATTCTGATTTTTTGATGGACCAAACCCGGCCCATTCCTCACGTAACAGAATGACCCGGTAAACTCCGTACTATTAATAGCTAAACCAACCGGCTAAAACCGTGCCCTAACCGGTCCTTCCGGTTCCCCCCCAACCCTCGATTATTATCCCATCCCATCAACTACATCAACTCGGTTCTCTCTCAACCGCAGCCGCCGCCGGTCGCTCGCTTGGAAGCTGGAATCATTCAAAGAAGTATAACATACAATTAGCAAGTAAGCTCCTTTTCCCTCTTCCCTTTTTCGCTTCCTCTCTTTGTTGTTATATTTACTTATTACATATCAATTTATTTTGCGGTTAATTTAATTGTAAATATGCATTTTTTCATGGCATCTAATAGGATGTTCTATGGATATGTTTTTTATTACCTAAATTGTTTTTGGGTAAATCTTTGTTCATGTAAAGCTGCAATTTTTTTCCTCCTTTTTGGTGGTTGTTAAGGTTGCTGGGATGGCATCTCATTTGGAGCAATTACCAATAACACCACTCAAACAAGATCCAGCATGGAAACATGTTCAGATGTTTAGGCATGGGGATAGGGTGCAGCTCAAGTGTATATATTGTGAGAAAGTTTTCAAAGGTGGTGGGATTCATAGGATTAAGGAGCATTTAGCTAAGCAAAAGGGTAATGCGGCTACTTGTTTATGTGTTCCACCTGATGTTCGTGATCTAATGCAACAAAGTTTGAATGGGGCTGTGTCAAAGAGGAGGAAGAAGGATAAGATTGTGGAGGAGATAATGAATGTTAATCTGATTCCTAGAGAGGTTGACCCATTTGATAATGAATGTGATGCCGATACTGGAGTGCAATTTATTGGGGCACCACACACCCTTGAACCTAGTCCAAATTTGTTACTTAATGGAGCAGGGACTAGTGGTGGTGCTACAGGGGATAATAGGAGGAAGAGGGGGAAAGAGAAAAGTTTTGCTAATGCTGATTCTCTTGCTCATGGAAATAATGGGTTAGGAGCAAAGCAAGTGAACAATCATTTACATGCAGCAATAGGGAAGTTTCTCTTTGATATTGGGGCACCCATGGATGCTGTTAACTCAATTTTTTTCCAGCCAATGGTTGATGCTATTGTCTCTGTAGGATCAGAGTCTCTATTGCCTTCTCAAAATGATATTCGAGGTTGGGTGTTGAAGAATTCAGTTGAAGAAGTGAAGGCTAATGTTGATAAAATAGCGGCAGCATGGGGAAAGACTGGTTGTTCTGTGTTGGTCGACCAACATAAGACAGA